ATAAATACAGACATTTTCCTGATAATTAAATGACTGTATGCTTTGAAAATTAATTACATGTATGATTTTAATTAATCTGGGATCATGAAGCATCACAGAGCTGGCAATTAAAAATATTTTATTATTGTTTATTATTGTATTTGTGTGCATCAAACGTCAGGACAGTGTGATTTAGTTTGATGCTCTTTWCTAATACCGGGTGTGAATGGTTTCAGCTGAAGTTGAACGTTGTCATGTTGTTCATTCATATTTTACAACTGTTGGTCCGTTGTCCCCATCAAAGTATATGGGCTGAGTTTGATTTGTGTCGAAAAGTTAATGCGTGAACCCGACAAGGTCAGTAGTGTGAAAGACAACACTTTTGTTTATTGTTTACAAGCTGGATAGCGGCCATTAAAATGCCACGCAAGTGAAGACAGTCGTTTGTAACCGTGAACTTAATAGCTTTGACGTGTGCCTGTGCCCTCCATCTATCTTACCTTTCATCAGCAGGACATTAAGATAGGAGAAGAAAAAAAAAGGCTACCAGATGCTTGGCGGAAAAATTAATCACKCGCCCATCTTCAAACGCCTTTATTTCATAAGCACAAAGAAAACACGCAGACCTCTGGCTGGGTCAGATTTTCATCTCTGTGAGGTACAGAGTAAATCAGCCGGGGGATCGTTGTTTGTTTCTTATTTGCTTTAATCATTGTGTTCAGAGTGGCGTAAAAGCAACCACATTTACTGAAACTGCTTTTGACTGGCATCAGAGAAGTAACAGGCTTCCTCAGATGTAAATGAAGTTGAGGCTTTCATTATTTTGAATGTGTGGCGGAGAACAAGCCTTCAACATCTGAATAAACAGCAAGGATTACAAACTGATCTGATTCTTTGTAGTTTTGGATTGAAAATTATAACTCACTGGTTTAAAGGCGATTTAAAGAATGTTGATGGTACTTCATTGTGAAAAGTTTAGTAGCATTTTATAATAACTACACCTTAGCTTTGCTTAATCATTAATGATGATTCATACTTAATAAGCTACAAATGAAGACATTTCTTAGTGTTTTACCCATAAAGACTAATTACTTCCAAGACCATATATAT